AACAGACCAATTACTAGTAAAAAGATTGAATCAATAATCATAAACCTCCCAACAAACAAAAGCCTGGACTAGATAGCTTCACTGGTAAATTCTACCACACACTTTTTTCATTTAAATTCAATTAACCAACATATAATACATCATTAGTTTCAGAGTATAGTGTTATTTTCAGATGTAGAGTTCAGTTATTCATCAGTTACATATAACACCCAGGGCTCATCACATCACGTACCCTCCTTAATGCCCGTCACCCAGTTACCCCATCTCCCCATCCTCTCCCCTCCAGCAATCCTCAGTTTGTTTCCTATAGTTAAAAGTCTCTCATGGTTTATCTCCCTCTCTGATTTCTTCCCATTCAGTTTTCCCTCTCTTCCCCTATGATCCTCTGTGCTTTTTCTTATATTCCACATATGAGTAAAACTATATGATAATTGTCTTTCTCTGATTGACGCATTTTGCTCAGCATAATACCTTCAGTTCCATCCATGTTGACGTATGGTAAGATTTCATCCTTTTTGATGGCTGAGTGTCTACCAAACATTTAAAGAATTATCAATCCTTTTCAAATTCTTCCAAAAAAATAGAAGAGGAGGGAATACACCTAAACTCATTTTACAAGGCCAACATTACCCTCATACCAAAACTAGAGAAAGACACTACAAGAAGAGAACATTACAGAACATCACCAACATAGATGCAAAAATCCTCAATAAAGTATTGGTAAATTGAATTCAACAATACATTAAAAGGATCATATACCGTGATTAAGAGGGATTGGTTCAACATCCACAAATCAATCAATATAATACACCATATTAACAAAATGAAGGATAAAAATCATATGATCATCCCAGTAGATGCAGAAAAAACATTTGACAAAATCCAACATTTGACACAAACATTTGACAAATTCATGATAAAAACTCAGCAAACTGGATATAGAGAAAATACACCTCAACATAACAAAGGCCATATATGACAAGCCCACAGCTAATGTCATACTCAGTGGCGAAAAGCTGAAGACTTTACCTTTAAGATCAGAAACAAAACAAAAATGCCCACTCCTGCCATTTTATTCAAGTTGATACTGAAAGGCCTAGCCAGAGTAATTGGTTAAGAAAAACAGATAAAAGTCATCCAAATCAGAAAGGAGGAAGTAAAATTATCTCTATTTGCAGATGACATGATATATATAGAAAACCCTAAAGACTCCATAAAAAATTGTTTGAACTAATTAAATGAATTCAGTAAAGTTGCAGGTTACAGAATCAACATACAAAAACCTGTTGCATTTCTATATACTAACGACAAACTATGAGAAAGAGAAATTAAGAAAAAAATCCCATTTATAACCACATCAAAAAGAATAAAATACCTAGGAATAAATTTACCCAAGGCAGTGAAAGATCTCCACACTGAAGACTATAAGACATCGATGAAAGAATTCGAAGGTGACACTAATAAATGAAAAGATATTCCATACTTGTGAGTTGGAGGAATTAATATTATTATACAATCCATGCTAAAGGGATCTTTGGTTCCAATGCAAGCCCTATTGAAATTCTAATGACATTTTTCACATTAACAGAGAAAACATTCCTAAAATTTGTATGGAACCCCTAAGACCCTGAATAATGAAAGCAATCTTGAAAAAAAAAGAACAAAGCTGGAGGCATCGTACTTGAGATCATACTGATCTCAAACTATATTACAAGGCTATAAAAATCAAAACTGTATGGTATTTGCATAAAACCAGGCATATAGATCAATGGAATAGTTTAGAGCACCAAGAAATATGCCTACAAATATATGGTTAATTTATTACAAAGAAGCCAAGAATATACAATTGAAAAAGCATAGTTTCTTCAATAAATAGTGTTGATAAAAGAGACAGCCACATGCAAAAGAATGAAACTGGACTCCTATGTTACACCATACACAATCATCAACTCAAAATGGATTAAGGACTTGAACATAAGACCTGAAACCAGAAAACTCCTAGAAGAGAACATAAGATAAGCTCTCTGACACTGGTCTGAGCAATGATTTTTTGAATTTGACCCCCAAAGCAAAGGCAACATAACAAAATAAATAAGTGTGACTACATCAAATTAAAAAGCTTCTGCACAGCAAACAAGAGAAGATACTCAACATCAACAAATACAAATCAAAACCATAATGGATATCACCTCACACCTGTTAGAATGCCATCATCAAAAACAGAAGAGATAAGTATCGGTGAAGATGTGGAGAAAAGGGAGCTCTCATGCACTATTGGTGGGAATCTGAACTGTTGCAGCAAGTATGGAAAACTGTACAGTAGGTCCTCAAAAAATTCCAAATAGAACTACCATATGATCCAGCAATTCTCCTTGTGAGTATATATCCGAAGGAAAAGAAATCACTGTCTCAAAATGATGGATGAATGGATAAAGAAAATGTGATATATATATATTTATATATATATAAAGATTTTATTTATTTATTCATTCATTCATTTAGAGAGAGAGAGAGCATGAATGGGCAGGCGGAGAGGCAGAAGGAGAGGGAGAGGACGCCTGGGTGGTTCAGTTGTTTAAGCGACTGCCTTCGGCTCAGGTCATGATCCCAGGGTCCTGGGATGGAGTCCCTCATTGGGCTTCCCCTGCTCTGCAGGGAGCCTGCTTCTCCCTCTCCCTCTGGCTGCCACTCCCTCTGCTTGTGCTCTCTCTCTGTGTCAAATAAATAAATAAAATCTTAAAAAAAAAAAAAAAGGAGAGGGAGAGGGAGAAGCAGACTCCCTGCTGAGCAGGGCGCCCAGTGCAGGGCTAGATCCTAGGACCCTGGGATCATGACCTGAGCCAAAGACAGACACTTAACCATCTGAGCCACCCAGGCACTATATATATATGAATATTACTCCAATATATTGGAATATTCCAATATATATTATATATATTGTATTACTCAGCTATAAAAAAAAGAATACAATCTTGCCACTTATAACAACATAGATAGACCTTGAGGGCATTATGTTAAGTGAAATAAGTCATACAGAGAAATACAAATCCTGTCTGATCTCACTTATATGTGAAATCTAAAAAAATTGACCTTTAGAAACAGAGAACAGACCAGTGATTTCCAGAGGTGAAGATGGTCAAAAGGCACAAATTTCCTGTTAGAAGATAAATTCTGGGGATCTAATGCACAGCATACTGACTATAGTTAACAATACTGTATTGTGTATTAAAAAGTGGCTAAAAGAATAGATCGTAGAAGTTCTTATCATAAGAAAAAATTGTAACTATACAGGGGATGATAGTTAACCATGCTAATCATTAGCAAATCGTTATGTTATATTCCTTAACTGTCAATTGTGTCTCAGTAAAACTGGGGGGAAAACAAAATGGGAAGAATAAAAATAAATATATTGGTTACTACTCTAAAAAATGTTGATCTCATCCAAAAACACCCTTACAGAAAGATTCAGAATAGTGTTGACTATATATCTGAGCATCCTATACCCCAGTCAAGTTGACACATAAAATTAACCAGTATCCAATAGGATATTGTGGAAATGACATCGTGTGACTTCTGAGAAGAGATTATAAAAGACATTGTGGTTTCTGCCTTTCTCTCTTTTTCTGGGAGAAGCCAGCTGCTATGTCACAAGAAGACTCAAATAGTCTTATGATGAGGTCTACGTATTGGGGCTATGAGGCCTCCAGTCAGCAGCCATGAGTGAGCCCTCTTAGATGGGGATCCTCCAGTGCCAGTCTAGCCTTTAGATAACTGCACTTCTGGCTGATGTTTGGAATTCAACCTCAAGAGAGCCCAAGCCAGAACCACCTAGCTAAGCTGCTCTTGAATTCCTGACACACAGAAACTGTGTGAGATAATAAATAGTTATTCTTGCTTTAAATCAATAAGTTTAGGGTAATTTCTTACTACGCAATAGATAACTAATTTAAAAGTCATTCTATAAAAATACTTGCTATGTACTCTTGAAAAATGTCAAGGTCATGAAAGATATAAAAAGGACCAAGGATCTTTTCCAGATAAATGAGGAAAGAAGACATAACAATCAAATGTAATGTGTGATCCTTGAACGATCCTGGACCAGAAAAATGGAAGGGTGAGAGAGAGATTGCAATAATAAAGATTATTGAGGTGATTGGAGAAATTTGAGTATAACCCGTCACTTAGATAATATTTCAATGTTTGTTTCCTGTTTTTGTTCACTGTACTGTAGTTATGCAAGAGAATGTCCTTGTTTTTAAGAAATATACCAAGTATTTAGAGGAGTATCATGCCTTTATCTTATCTCAGTTCCAAAGTAACAATTATATAATTATAATTATATAATCATATATATGTATATGTGTATATATCTAGATCTCTCTATATATATGTAATTACACCTACAGCTATCTATCTCTATCTATGTCTATGTAAAGAGAGAAAGAATGATAAAGAAAATATAGTGAAGTGTTAACATTGGGTATCTGGATGATGAATATATGGGAATTCTTTGCACCATTCTCGAAACTTTCTGTAGAAATTGCTTCAAAATAAAAAGGGCATAAGAGGAGAGGTGGCTGCTATTTATAAATTTCCTTTCTAAGTAAACTGTTTCTTTAAACTGAGGATTTGAAACATTAATAGCTTTTGAAATGAATTTATTGGATCCAAACCAGAATTTTAGGATGTAATAGAATAGAATAGAATAGAATAGAATAGAATAGAATAGAATAGAATAGAATAGAATAGAATAGAATAGAATAGAA